GAATAGAATTAGAATAGAGAGTGCTAGAGTTAGAGGGTCAAATAAAGATGGAAGAGATGTGTTTTTAGTCGATTCTTGAAGATGGCTAAGGACTATAGGCTATTTGTACTGCATGCAAACACAATCTTCGCACAGCGGCCCAAAAAAACAAACAAACAAAAAACAGGAAAAAAATGGTTAAAAATAGTAAGGAGATATTTGAATTCTTTATTAATAAACTAGTGTTTTCTGAGTCAGTGTCGCAAAGATGAAGTTGACGATCCTGACTCGCCATCTCCTCATTGGATGCACCTTTAGAGATAAATGCATCTTTACGGATTACATAATGAAAGAGTTTTTGTCTTTGATTTGAATTATTTCAGTCTAAAGTAGTAAATTAAAGCTTTCTACAGATATATTTATCATGTCTGTGAGGCAAGTATTCGCTGAGTTTCCGTTAATTTTTGTGAAGCGCTCCTGCTCAAGACTGAGATGGCAGAAAGTGCATCCTGTTTGTTTTTCCTTATTTTACAAAAGCACAACGTTTTGTTGATATTGTGAGTACACACAAAAAAGCAGACCCTTTGCAGTTCCGAATGATGCATTAGTCTTATCTGTATGAGCAAAAATTACGGTGTATTTTAAGTTTCCACTCTTACAAAAAAAAAAAAAGAAATGCAAGTGATCGTGCTGGCGCCTCCATGTCCTGCAAAGCACGCTTCAGCTTCCACTCTGCACAAACAATTGGATATGGGTCTAATAGCTTGTTTTCGATTTTAATTATTTCGTTTTAAAGTAGTAATTTAAAGCATTCTATAGATATTTTATCATGTCTGTGAGACAAGTATTCGCTGAGTTTCGGTTCATCATTGTGACGCGCTCCTGTTCAAGACCGAGACAGCAGAAAGTGCATTTATGAGCAAAAATGATGGCGTATTTTAAGTTTCCACACTTATTAAGAAAAAAAATGCAAGTGATCGCTAGCGCCTCCATGTCAAAGTGCGCTTCAGCTTCCACTCTCCGCACAAACGATTGGATATGCACCTAAAAGCGCACATTTATCTAGGTTAAAATTGTGAAATGCATGAAGTGTTCTCTATGGATTTTATTTTAGGCAAGTCGTGTTGATTTGAGAAGGCTAAATTGATCAAACATATGCTCGACTCACTGTCCGCCGCTAGCCACTTGGTACTTTAAAAAACAAAAACTTGAATTTAACAAACATAAAATGTTCAAAACATACTTCTAAATGAACTTAATAAAGAAACGAAAAGAAATATAACCACTTTGCTATTAAAAACCAAGTAACACTTTAGAATAGGGAACACTTATTCACTATTAACAATGACTTTTTCCTCAATAAATTCCTAATTTGTTGCTTATTAATAGTTAGTAAGGTAGTTGTTAAGTTTAGGTATTGGGTAGAATTAGGGATGTAGAATAAAGCATTAATATGTGCTTAATTACTACTAATAAATGGCTAATATTCTAGTAATATGCATGCTAATAAGCAACTAGTTAAGAGACCAAGTTACCAAAAACCAAAACTGAACTATTTTAATGGCTGCAAAAGCAGCTGTGTAAAGAGAGAAAAAAGACACGGGCTCGAGTCGGACTCGGGCCGAGAATTCGGATAAGCTGTGGGACAAGGGCCTAGATTTGAGGCCCGTGCAGGGCTCTATTCGATCCCTCGTTTCAATTAAAAGTTCCCCCTTGGCTCGGCGGGCCCTCAATATGCACCTGCATACCCAGACGCTACGCCCTGGTGTGTAAGCAATCTTAAAAAAGTGTAATAGTAAAAGATCTCCCACCTTTTTCCTTAATGAGACTCAGGACCTCTTGTTTGATGCTGTCGTTCCAGTGGGTGATGTCCACATGCAGAGAGTAATCACAGCAGGCTTTCTCATCTGCCCACTCACGCCAGCGCTCGAACGCCTCCACCAGACTAGAGCCCGGCTCCGGGATCACATGATCCACTGCAGGAGACACACACGACAGAGGCAGCTCACACGCCTATTCAGAGAACACATCTCATATGTGACAAAAGCAGTCTTAAGTCGCTGGGGGAAATCTGTAGCAATAGCCAACAATACATTGTATGGGTCAAAATTATCCATTTTTCTTTTATGCCAAAAATCATTAGG